CCAAGCCTCAAACCACAACAGTAAGTTAGTCTATTGAGTTAAGTAGCTGTGCTGATTGATAGAACCTCAGAATCTGCAGCACTTCTCATCCAGAACACATTCTTAAAAAGAAATGCAATGCTTCCCAATCAATAGATCCCTTACAGTTGTAAATATCCTAACATGTACTAAAGTAAATAAGAATTTGACTGCTCCATTTTGTAATTTATTAGCTGGATGCTTTAAAATGCACAGTGGAGAGAACTGCTTCTGAACTAGAGTCTTTGAGAACAGAAGTAACCAATCTGAAGAAAGACATTCAGAAAAAACAAGCCAGGTAAGAAACAGACATTTAACAATATAACTTGTAAGCATTAGTAATACAATCAAATCCTTGAGCTAGCTAAGAGCTTTACATAATGTTCATGATTAAAGCCCCCAACTTTCTGGTTACTTCATGTCCTGCATAGTTTCTGGCACTGGGCATTTTAGGAGATACTCCTGGTAATGCTTGTTCATAAAGAGTGTGAAAAATCACTTGTGTCCTTGTTTATCACAGGTTCCAGGTGAGCCTGCTTTATTAGGCAACTGCTCAGTGAGGTATGCTGCTTGGTTTTGGCAATGTTGTAGATGCAACATACATTTAGCTTGTTAAATCATGTAATTTTTTTTTTTTTAGATTAAGCTTTCTTAATGAAAAAAATGCAAGTCTTTCCAATAAGCTGAAGCTTGTGACTGAGGAGACACTCAGTTCTGAAGAGAAAGCTTTGAGGATGGAAGAAATAATAAAAGAAGAAGAAAAAATTGTCAAGGTAAAATGTTTTTCATGATTTCTGCAAATGAGGATTCATTTGAGTTGTCAAGCTTCATCTAGAACAATTATAGATTAAAGTGGATGCATTAATAAGACATGGAGCTGTTTCATCAAACAATGAAGTAACATGGATGTAGATACATCAGTATATGTGTTGGGAAAACTTTAGGAAAATAACTGGTCCTATTGATTCAGAAGATGTGTCCCCATGTATTAATGTAGGATACTGGAACTGCCATTGTACAGACCAGGTATAAAACCAGTATCCTGATGGCATCAGTGTGCTGAACAGGGTGTTTACCTCCATCACCAGTGAAAAGCTGCTTACAACTTTTTGGCCTGATTGAAATGTTATTAACTGGAACGTAGCAAATCTTATTATATAGTAAGGTTTTGCTTCTCCTCTGCAACAATAAAGAAAAAATTCAAAACCTGTTTTGCTTAGCTCTTTCGGGAGTTCTTCTCTGAAGATTCTTTTTTATGTGCTGCTGAGGAGCAAGAGTCCTTGAACTTCTATTGGGTTCCCATCAATAAGGTTGTTAAAAAGTTAGGATCTTGTCAGGATGACTTTTCAGTAACATTACCACTGAAAACTTCCTGGCTGTAGTAAAACACCACCAAAACTTTAAAAATTTGAAATCTTTTAATCAGATTTGGCTGGTCTGGTCTCCTCTTCATTATTTAAAGTCTACTGCATGATACTCCGGGCTATTAAATAATTACTGGCTCACTTTAGATTTCCTTTTTATGATGAATAAAGATTTTGTTCTGGGAATAGGTATGTACAGGCTGCGATATGATGATTTTTTAAAACATGTCTGATACTGCTTTTTTAAAACTCAAACCCCACTTCTTATGTTGCAAATTAAATATAGGAATAAAAATATCCTAATTCATTGTCATCTCATGAACTGCAAAAGCCTTTTGAATAAATGCAATCTTTTAATGCAATCATCTGAACTTTCCCACATCTCAGAAAATGTTTCTACTGTTTTGTCATTTTCTACCTAATTATCTTGTATTTTACTACGTAGTTTCTGACTGAACTTGATACAATTATCTTCTTTTATAACATTTTGCTGGACAATTGAGTACTGTTTATGTTGAAGCTTTCTTTAAGGAAGAAATGACCAGATTAAATTTGACAGCAGGTGCTCCCATAGAAGTGACAACAAAGCTGTATCTGTGCATGACACTATATACTTTCTTTGTCCTATTTTGTGTTTCCTGTAGCACATATGTGAAATAATCCCTTGCAGTAGATAGTTGTTTTTCAGATTTTTTAACTCCACGGGCATTAACTGTACATTTAAAATATACATATAAAAACTAGAGAGGGAATGTTTTTCATTTCTAGACTTTCATATATTACAGGTCCTACTTACCATTTTGGTTTTTCAGATAATCTGAAAACAAGCTGTAATGATACAACGTTTCATTAAAATTAAAACCTTATTTGCTTCCTCTTAAGACTGTTACCAGGGTGGCTAAACCATTAGCAGGGTTTCTTTACTTGTGTCGGTGGCAGATAACCTAAGATGACATTGAGCTTGGCAGCTCCACAGCTTCAGGGTAATATTTTAACTAAGATGAACTGTTCTTGAACAATGTCTGTAACGTATTAGTCAGGAGCATGCTTTCCATCACCATTAGACACACAGGGCTATTTGCTGCATCTATTAATTTACTGTGAAGAGATATTTACAAGAACAATGTGGATGAAATGTCACCATTTTGTGCTTTAGTTCTGTGATATTTCTCCCTCTTCAATCTGTGGCAAAACACTGTTGCACAGTGAAGCTTATTATTGAATATCTTATCTCCATTAACAACCTCACTTAAAGGGAGAGGAGCAATTTCTATTAAATAAATTAATTTAGATATGCAAGAGACTACAAAATGAAGGTCAAATCGTGATCTAGTTTTAGTAGACCAATTAATCATTGTCACTAGCTTCAGAAATAGAGCTCAGAACTGGGAACGTGCCTCAAACCAGTTTACTTCTGGAATTAAATTCCTTTGTTCAGGCGTGATCCAAAGCCCACAGACATCAGTGTACAATGCTACAGGCCGTAACAATTTAATATTAAACTTAGACCTGCTTTTTACTTCCTGAATCTTGGATTTAGAATTATGCTTACAGCAAGTTCAACTACAAAAAAAATCTGTTTGGTAGATTGTGATTTTGAACTCATAGAGAAGGAGTTAAGTTACCTTTGGCAGTTCTTAAAGCCAACAAGATGGTTCACAAGCAAATTTCACAATATACACACATAAAATGAAGAATAAGCACATTTTTAATCAATGTAGAAAAGTGAATTCTACGGTGTTTTGCTATCTTAATATAAATGCATATGTTCAAACTGTGCCAGACTTGAGTTAAACGTGAGTCGTTTGGAACAGGATTTTGATGGTACCTCGCTTGTTTCAGAGCTGTTCCTCAGAGGAAATGAGTATGTTGAATGGCCTGAGCTTCCGAAGGTCTTTGATTGTTTGGACATAGTGGGGTGAAGGAGGGAGGGAAAGAATAAAGTTGTATTCCTTGTTAGGGTTATAAAACCAAAATAATCTCAATTTTGTTTGTTTTCAGTCCATTTCAGGCTACCTGAAATGTTCAACATTGTCTTACTGTAAAAGACCCTACTAAAAACCTCATTCTCTGCACTTATTTAGGTGTTAATGGCAACTTATCTCTGAGAATCAGAAAGTGATTTTAAAATCTGTAATTAATTTTTCAAACAAAATTATTTCAATTTACATAAACACACATATATACATACATACGCATACACACAGAGTTACAAGTTTTAATAGACCATTGAAAAGCTTTGTATTACATTTCTCCAAAGATTCACATATACTGGAGGCAATAAGGAGGGTTTTTTGAAAGAATAACAGGAAATTATTTTTCTGAAAGGTTGAAGAGAATAGTATTCCTGTAATGGAAATGAAAGGTTGTGTAGTAGTAGGGTAGTATCCAAGTTAAAAAAAAAAATAAATAGAAAAGATACCATTCTTTAAGTCAAAGAATTTAATTGCTGACCATTTTGAAGATCTATGAAATTCCATGTTCATATTAATGGGTATAGTCTTGATTCTTATTAATCTTACTACATATGATTAAAAAAAGGCAAGTAATTCCTCAGAAATCGCTTCTGGTGTATTGCTTTCTACTCGACAATTAATTTGTCACCAGGAAAAAGAAACAGAAGTGAACCAGTTAAAAGAGCTACTTTTCAAGAAGAATCAAGAGCTAAAGTTGCAGAAGGATAAGGAGAAATGCGTTCTAGCAGAAATAGAGGGAAGTCGAACATCACTTAAAAATCTCAAGAGTCGACTGCACCGACTTGATGCAGATGCCCTAAAACAACAAGAATTCATATATAACCAGGTAAAATGTTAATGTGCCTTCATACTATGACTGGCTCTTGGGCCTAGTGAGAGTAAAATTCCTTGAGTTCTGTAATCTTTGTTAACATCTTACCATTTTGGAAATGCCATGCAGTATAATTTGATACATTTATTTATGTCACTAGCTGTATGGATAAAACAGAAATAGCCGAAACATGCTATAGCATCACCTACGTTATGCGCTTGTGTATTACATTAGTTTTTGGATCTGCTTCTTTTCCCACTAATTTCTCAGATCAGTTTTTTACTTTGATCCCTCTGAACCACGGACACCTCAGGGTAAATTTTTAAAGCAATACAAGAGGTACATGCCAAAATCCTGTTATTTACTAATTGGATTTTGTGCATATTTCCTATGCACCACTTGAAAATTTGCTCTTTTATATCAGCCTCCAATGGTAACAGCAAGATGGCAACTCTGCTCTAAGCCTCCCTACAGCAGACTGTGCTGAGTAGGCTTTGTTACTCTTCTAGAAGATTACTCCTGAACCATCACTGCACATCAGTCATCCAAGAATATTTTGCTAATGAGGTCTATAAGCCCTAAATTATTATAAAAACAATAGCTTAATTGGGTGACTGTCCTGAAGCTACCATTTAGATCCAAATTTATATCCAGTGTTTTGGCTTTATAGGAAAGCTATACTGGCTTATCTCGGACTATTAATTCTCTTAAAAATTATTTTAACAGGATTTTTATATTCAGCAAGTACAGAGACGGCTGTCACGGTTAGAAGGGGAGGTTAATGGAGAAGAAAAACAAGTTTTGGAAGCAAAAGTTGCTGAACTTAAGAAAACCTTAGAAGAAAAGAAAAATGCATATGATGTTTTACATGCACAACACAAGAAACTTCAGGTAACTACCTTAGAACATCCAGTTGACTGTGTAACATCTAGAAACCTCAGTGATTTCAACTATATTGAATCTTATTAATTAATAACTTAGTATTAGATTAAAAGGTATCTGAACCTACATGGAAAACTTCCTATGTTCCCTAAATTTTCAGAAAAATAGGTCATAACTACAGAACTGAGACACCTTAGCATGAAGAGAAGGACTGAGATGCTGGAAAGGCAAGCTTAGCTTTCACTCTAAGATGTGACTGACTGCTTGCAAACCTCGGACTTAATCACCATGACCATGTAGAAATAGGAGAATGTTATTCTGTGATTACTTACATTTATATTTTTCATAAAAAGGAGAAGTAGTTGTATGTAAAATCATACAAAGTAACATTATTGAATTGAAGGGACAGTATTTGAGTTAGCCAACTCCAGCCTGATACGTAATTCAGAAATACTATTTTTCTGTCTTTATTCACACATGAGAACTTTGCATATATATGCTGCTTTTCTGCTATCCAGTGACCATCATTAATTCTCTAAAAATGCACTTACGATTCTTGTAGAGAAGAACCAGTCAGTTACTCTAGCCAATTTATTTCTTTTTATGATAAATGTTTTTGTTTACTAATCAGTTACATTTTAGCACACTTAGAAACCTCTTTTCAAAGAGAAACAATACGAAGACAAAAGTCAGGTTTTTAATAAAACATTATAACTGGTTTCTCAAAGTGCTAGTTAAGAAAAAAATAGACTAATTTAATGAGGGGAAGAAACTACATACAGGAGACCCCTTTAACTGGAGATCCATGCAATAACAAGACTTAATGTTGGGCAACTGATGCCCACACTTCAGTTTTGAGGAGATGCAAAATTTGAGCAGTGAGTATAATCAAACATTGAAACACACATCCAGGAATTTATGTACCCTGGAGTATTATCAAAGACAGATGGTTTTATAAAGATAAACTACAAATAGCAAGGTCATGGTCAGACACTCCAGGAGATTTTTTTTTAATCGAGACCAAAATACATGATTATCTAAGAACTGCTAAAAGATCTATATTGTTTAAATAACAGTTACTACACTCCAAGTAAAACAAGCTATTCATTGACATTGCAACAGCACTCTGCGTGAGGACTGCAGTGCTCAAAGCACTGTTTGCAGAGCAGCATAAGGACACAAGAAGATGATGGTTCTTTGTTCCAGGACTTAAAAATAATTTAAAATTAACTGGTAGTTTCTGCTGCAACCTACATTCACTGAAATAAATTAAATATAATTTACTCTGAAACAGAGTGACGTCCATTTTCTCAAGAGAGCAGTGGATAAGACAGGAGAAGAAAAAAGTGGTATGATGGTAAAGATAAATGAACTAAATCTTTTCAATGAGAGATCAGATCAAGAGTTAAAAAAAGCTAAAGCCACTAAACAGGTACGGTATTATTTTACAACTTTACTAATACAGGATGTGTTTATTTGCTTGTTTGTTTTTTAAAACACAAACTAATGGCTTGATCTGAAGGCTGTTGTCTGCCTCCCACAGCACGACATCATATGCACAAGAACCCTCTTTGTATTTTCTCAACTTAGATCTTTCTTCCCAAACTTTGAAGTCATTTCCATCACTGTTACCTTGCTAGGCAAAGTATTGTTCCTCCTCTGTATATAGCATAAAGTTTGTTTGGGTTATCAATTTAACTACATATTACTTCTACCAAAATATCCACCTGGTCAGGTGTTTGTTGTGGGTTTTTGGTTTTGTTTTGTTTTGTTTTGTTTTGTTTTTTCTGAGAAGCAATTGCCTTGAATTTTAATAGAAAATGTATTTACTGTTCAAGGATGTCTTTGCCTAGCACTGAATTTTTACTCTCTATCTCTGATGCCAAGTAATACGTTTGGATTGGTTTTGTTATTAAATTGTGAGATTATTGTCCTAGCAGATGGTTTGCATCTATCTATATTCAAATTTGAGGAATTCACAGAATCACAGAATGTTAGGGGTTGGAAGGGACCTCCAGAGATCATTGAGTCCAACCACCCCCTCCCAGAGCAGAATTAGAATTAAAATGGAAATCCTTCTGCCCATATTCTGACAAACACAAAACACCCCAGTTCCCAGTCCTCTAATTACTGCACCCTTTTTCCTGCAGTAAGCTCTAGCCTTCCTAGAGGAAGCACTAAGGTAGTGGAACAACACAGAGTCTCAGCATCAGGGGAAAGTGTTTTGTTATCAGCTTAACTGGTGCACTTGCTCCTCAATGAAAAATCCCTCTTTCCCAACTTTTCAGAGGGACAATTCAGGAGAACAAAAGAAAGAAACTGATGGCATAAAAGAACTCAAAATAAAAATGGTACGGACTCTGGAATCCATAAAAGAGTTGGGTTTTTTTAATGACTCAAAGTGTTTGCATGCTGATGAAGTTCACCATATGCTGCTTTCCATAAGCTTTGGTGTATATAAATTTGTTCATCTGACAACATGACTTGTAGACCTACAGAATCTAGAACATATTCTAAGACAGTTATAATGGCTCAAGTGAGATGTTAACTGCTGTAGAAAGTTCCTTCTAAAGTCTGCTTCATTTCTGTGAAACCACCCAACCTGAAAGAAGGCTGTAGATGGAGGAGTCTAACAATGTGTGACTCAGCCTGAGCTATAAAGTCTGAGTTTGTATAAAACCATTCAGGAAATAATCCACCCCTCTTGCACTCAATGTGTGAACTGCAGCAAAAGAGAAAGAACCTTTTTAAATTCGGAGCAAGATAAGTCATACAGTTGTATGTAGAGTGAAGATAACATAATAGATGCTTTATAAAAAAATTAACTTTCAAACTGGTATAAATAAATAAAAACCAAAATTTAACTTATTGACTGTTATAAACTTAGTTCTAGACAATGCTTTCTTATTTTCAAACCTTTTTGGCATTTATTAGGAGATGATGGTCGAAGATAATCTCTTAAAACTAGAACTGAACCGTCTTCAAGGTACTCTGTGTAATAAGGCAGAGAAAGTTCTAACACTGGAAAAACAGAAACTGGTGTTAGAGAAAGCCATAGCAGAAAGAACTGAGGAAATTAAGATTCATAAGGCAATGCTGGGTTCCCAGATACGACTTGTGGATCAGGAACGGCAGCGCATAAGGTAACTATTCTTACATAAAGTAAACTTGTGACTCTTCTGAGTACATTTATGGGCACTTAATGAAACAGAGAAGCATTTTACCAAATTTCACCAACTGGAGAAATTTAAGATTAAATAAATCTTTCTCGGTTACATGCTGAGAGGCTACAGCTTTAACCATATGGTGAAGAAATTGCCGTTTGTTCTGTTGATGCTGATCCTCTACGGTTCCAAGTAGAGGCAACATCAGTTGCAGACATCTTTTTAAAATAAAAGTCGTATGTGTACATTTTTCAAAATAACCAGGAAAAGTGAAATCATCTGTCTGGAGGCATGACAAAATATTTAAAACAGAAAAGTTGCTTTTAAAGTGGGTTTACCCTCAACTGATTGATAAACCTGTAATTTCTTTGACTCGTACAGTAAGTCTGTTTTGTGGGTTTGTGTTTTTTTTTTTTTTTAACTCTCCCTTAGCTCTACATTCAGTGTACTGGATTACAAAATTGAATCTTCTGAATTATCTATGTACCCTCTTATAAAATAACTTCTGTAATAATCAGTGCAAAGTATCAGGGACAGTTTTAACTCTGAAATCCCAGTATCTATATCCAGCCAAAAACCAACTTTTCAGCAGCTGGACTGCTGAAACCTGTCAGGTTTCTTATTCACTCCTCCGCTAACAACACCCCACACAACAGGAAACTAGAGTTATTTAGTGTGACTAAAGCTTAACTGCTCCCCAGGAGTGCAGACTGTGTGTATTTTTTTCCTCTGATAATTACACAGCTAATTGATACTTCCATGTAATTTGATTTGGGGTTGCTGCCTACACTCATCTCATAGTGGCAACATTCAGATAATATCAGCAGGGGGCAGCTTGCGCAGCTGTAGGTTTTACGTGCCAAACCTTTAGGGTTTTTTTGGGAGGACCAAGGCACAGCTTCCCAGGATGCAACGATCTTGAATATGAAAGTAAATCTCACTCAGTTTAGAACTGCAAGAAAACTGGAGGTGACCAGAAAAACGGGTGACTGACAGGGAGGAAACAGAAAGCAACAAAACCAGTAGCAGAACAACTGCTGCCCTGCCTGCTTCCCCAGTATGCAGCCAGACTGCTCACATCATACCAGGAATAAACTGCCATAGCAAAAACTCCCCACAAAATACTACCAGACAAACGTTTTCTCAAACCATTTTTTTTCCCCCAAAATAAATCAGTGCAGAATTTCAAGATCGCCTAAATAAAATTGATAAACTGAGGTGCAGATATGAAATTCTTACTGTTGCCATGATGCCACCAGACGGAGAAGAGGAGAAAACTCATACCTACTATGTAATCAAGGTATTTTATTAACATAATTCATTATAATTCCAGCATTTAAGCTATACATTTCCTTGGCTTTATTAAGTAACTAAGACAACCTCCTTGCCTACCGCTTACTTTCAATCTAATTGTTTTACATTATCTGACACTGTTGGTTATTTAAACGATAAAGCAATCCAATGTCACATGAATCTCTGTGGTCAGTCCTAATGTCAGTGGAACCTTAATTTTGAGAAGTTTGAAAATCTTAACTTCAATGCTCATTAATTTACAAAGCTAAAAGAAGTACTGGTCACGTGGTAATCTGCTATGAAATGGAAATGAGTTCATCACAGTCTCACATGATCTTAAATTCTTCTACCCGTCAAAGATATTTTTAAGTATTTCACCATGTGGCATTTGAACCTTGAACAATGTTAGCTTTCCTCTTTTATTTAAAACCTCTGCATACCTCAGATTTTCATTGGAAAAAATAAATCAGTCTTTATCCGTAATGCAATATCCTGATTATGGAACAAAAATATTATTTTTGATCTGCACAAACTCCGATTTCCTCTTCAAGCAGAATGCTTCTAGCCATGATCTGGGCTCTGAAGTCCATCTTATTCTTAGTGTTAAATTTCTTAATGATTTAAGAAATACTGGTAGCACAGTATTTCTGCTACTGTGAGATCCAGCACAGCAGAAGACCCTCAGTCAAACCCTTGTGGTCTCTGCGGGTATATACCCTCTACAACTGTGGAGATTTTTTATTAGATTTTCTGAGGGGCTGTACTTATCTTCACTAGCTGGCTGTAGTTTCTTAAATCTTACTGATCAGATGAACAAAGACTTGCAAGTGAGTAATTCAGACAAAGGGGATGACTTTTAATACTCTCTCTGTGGTTTTATGTAACCTACAATCTCAACTCTTACTTGGATTTTGTGGGTAAAGGAAACTGCTGTGAAGCACATGCTGCAGTTCACCTCAGCAGTGCAAAGCATGGAGCTGCATCAGTACAGAGTGTGGATGCTGCTAATCTGAACCTTGTGAGCTTAGATGGGGAGGCAGAGAGCTGTAATGAAATACCTCACAGAACTTCCACTACCATAAATAACTACTCCTTCCAGTTACCTAGTAACTCAATTTGAAGTTCAAGCCTGACAACACAGATAAGCCCCCTATCTAAGCAGGATTTTAACCCTTAAATATTGCAGGTTTTTTCTTCATAATTGTCCTAATATTTTCAGTTTATGTATGGTCACCTAAAATACCAGTTTTATTTTCAGGCTGCACAAGAAAAGGCAGCACTTCAATGTGAAGGTGATGATTTAGATGCAAAGATCTGCAAAGCTGAAAAAGAAATTGTAGCTCTGGAAAACACTTTGGGTGTACTCAATAAGTGCAACAGCAATTACCGAAACTCCTTCAAGGAAGTCACTGAGACAAGTATGTAAAATAGAAATTGCTATTTGGTGTGAGTTACAGAGGAGGGTCTAACTCAGGTATATACTGGGGAAATTCCATGGCACAAAAGAATGAATCACAGAGCCTAAATGGATATATTAGCAAAAGGGAGTGTAATTTCAGCAGAACCACCACAGAAAAAAAGTGCAGTAAGGCATAATTAACTAGTATTTCTCCCATATGATTTATGTGAAAATCCCTACGCCTATCTAAACTTTGTGATTAGCTCTAAGTAGGAACATTCAGAAGAGCAGAAGCATAAAGATGATTGCTGGGAGGAAGGAATGCCCACTGAAGTACGTAGGTCTGGTGGATAAAACTCTGCAGGGTACAAAAAGCACTGCTGCAGTGCTGCATCATACAGCTCAAACGGCAGAAGCAGGACAAGCTGTGCCACTGCCACTGCTGGCCACCTCGGCTAGACTGATCCAGCTTGGGCACAAAGCTGTACCCAGAGAACCTGCACAGGCAGCTGAGGTACCTCTGCGCTCCCCTACTACAACATCATGATCTCTGATCTTCACATGGAAGAGGGGAAGAAAACTACTAACCTGTCATTAGGGAAAATAATGAGGACAACTAAAACTTAAACTATCCTATTTTGTTCTAACATCAGCAGATTTTATAATATGGACTACCTTTGTTTTTTTGGATACTGGAAGTTCCCCAGAAATCTGAAAAACATATTCATCTGTTGTTTCTGTTGCTAATTAGACTTCATAAGCTTATTCTCTTTCAGTCAACTTAGTTTAGCTTATAAAAAGCATCACTGTGGGAAATTACATAAGCTTCTTTCTATAAAATATCTGATTATTTAACATTTATGCCCTCTGCTGGCTCTGGAAACAGTAGCACTTAATTCTCTCTCATGAAGCCAGTTACTTTTTCACAGTGATTTGGAATTAGTAGTAGAGTATTTAAAAAACACCTTAACCCTTGAGGTCTCTGCACTACTTCCAACACTGATACAGTAATGCTCTGTGATGAAGTTACTTTGAAGTGCAACTTATTTTAAAGTGAAAATTGAGTTGTATACCCTGCTTGTCCAGCAATAAATCTGCCTCATTGTTTGGGATGACAGGTGAGGAATATGAGGAAAAATTGAAACTAGAGGAGGAGAAAAGAGCTGCTGCTGAAAAATACAGATACAAGCGAAGACAGATCAAGGAACTTCAAGAAAATCTCGAGGTAAAATACAACCCAGTACTGCAGAGGTTAGAAGACACACATCTCATGTCTCTGCCATTGATTGGCACTGACTGGAAAAGGGGAAACATCAC